ACAACCTCCCACACCCCCCCACCACCCACCCTGATCAGGCCCCATGGGGCCGGCCAGACCCGACCGGTGCAGGATTTCATGTACCCGGCCTCTAGTAATAGATATAAATGGCCCAGTTGGTCTTAGTGAAATGGTTGCTTTAGCTTTAGCTAGTATTAGTTCACTTCGTTTTCCCCCAAATTTGGCAAACTTAAATTCAGACTGTGCATGTCTTGGTGGACTTCTAAGAGCAGCTAAGAAAGTGGGGAGTGTTGCCCTAACCGGTTTGGCTCAGTGGATAGAGCATCGGCCTGCGGACTGAAGAGCCCCAGGTTCGATTCCGGTCAAGGGCATGTACCTTGGTTGCGGGCACATCCCCAGTAGGGAGTGTGCAGGAGGCAGCTGATCGATGTTTCTAACTCTCTATCCCTCTCCCTTCCTCTCTGTAAAAAAAATCAATAAAATATATTTTAAAAAAAGAAAAAGTGGGGGAGCGTTAAGCCCAGGGAACACTGAGCAGTTGTGTCTTCCTGCCTTTCAGATGAGGCTTATCCTCTCTCCTTACCCGCCCCCAATCTGCTGTGGAAGCTAGAAGGAGATTCAGAATTCCAAACCGAAGTGATATGAAGCAGGGCTCCTCAGACTTCAATTAAAGGGTGTGCAAAACCCACACGAACCCTGCTGACCTGCTCATCCTGACCGTAGGTTTGGGGTTCTGCAGGTCTCATGCTGCCCATACTGCGCTCAGAGCTGATTAGTGTGGCCAGGAAAGTTTGGACTTTGGAATCACACAAATTGGGCAGTTCAAAACATTTCACAGAAGAACTCTGCCCATGGGCAGTTATATAATCCTTATGAGCCATAATTTCTTCACCTGTAAAATGGAGAGAATACCTAGCTCATGAGATTGTCTTATAAAAATAGAAGATATGTGGAAACTTCTAAATTCGGTGCCTGTCACATCTTAGCACTTGATGAATGTAAGGTCCTTACACAGTTCTTTTACACACTGGGTGTGAGTGGTGTTGACTAAGGCCTCCTGTGTGGTGGAGGCACTTGTGCAAAGGGGATCTGTCGGGGGGTGTACACGCATGCATGTCTGTGTCTACACAAAGTAAGGGATCAGAGACCCTAGAATGCAGGCATTTGAGCAGCACTCCTGTGAAGCCACAGGTGTACTTTGTATCAAACACATTTTCAGATGCTTTGTTTTTCTTTGATTTAAAAAAATTTTTTTTCTAATTCTTACCAGGTTTAGACAAAAAAAGGCATGTAGAGCTGAAGATGGACCAGGCTTTGCTGCTCATCCATAATGAACTACTGGGGACAAACTTGGCTGTCTACTGGAATTCAGAACGCTGTTATCATGTAGGTAGAGTGTTCATACTCACAATTTTGTTTACTGTGGGGATAATTTGATTATATCCTTGATGCTCATACCTGTAGCCCTTCACATGTTAACTTCAGTTTTACAGGTAAAGAAACAAACAGTCTATATAATCAGAGGAAATATAATCAGGGAGAATGCCTAGCAATGAGCAACATTTGTTTATCTTTTCCACTACCTATATTTTTAAAAAACCCATTTCTCAGTGATGAGCAGAATTGATGGAGCATGTTTTATTTTAGTCCTTTGCCTAATGCATAACCAGAGAAGGAAGTGAGGCACCTGGGTATTCTTCCAGGGTCAGGGTGGTGAGGACAGTGGAGAGGCTCAGGATGATAAAAAATTTATTTTAGCTGGGTATATATAACCACTGTAATTAAAATAATTATGGTCCAGTGAAGCACTACAGGCTGATAAATTTGAAATTCAAAACTTGATTTCCTTCAAAAAAATAATATCAAGATTAATTCAAGAAATTGAAAAAATTAGCCCTAACCGGTATGGCTCAGCGGATAGAGCGTCGGCCTGCGGATTCGAGGGTCCTAGGTTCGATTCCGATCAGGGGCATGTACCTTGGTTGCGGGCACATCCCCAATAGGGGGCGTGCAAGAGGCAGCTGATCAATGTTTCTCATCGATGTTTCTAGCTCTCTGTCCCTCTCCCCTCCTCTCTGTAAAAAAATCAATAAAATATATTAAAAAAAAGAAATTGAAAAAATTAATAGATCAGCAGCTGATTAAGAAATCTGGAAAATTATAACAAATTTTCTACCTAAAAATAGATAACATTTTCTACATTTTCAAATAATAAGTAATTCTCAATCTATATAAATTAACCTACATATACCACCCCCCAAAAAATGATGACTTGGTATCTGATTTATTCTGCCATATAGTTAGGATGTTCATCTTAAAACTCAGCAAAGAGATGACAAGAAATGCAGGCCAACTTTTTAATTAATATGGGTTTTAAAGTCTTAAATGAAATTCTATCATGCAGAATAAGTTAGCATATTTAACATTTAAAAATATATATTTCTTTATTACTTTCAGAGAGGAAGGGAGAAGGGAGAGAGAGATAAAAGCATCAGTGATGAGAGAGAATCATTGATTGGCTGCCTCTTGTGCACCTCCTACTGGGGACCGAGCCCACAACCTGTGCATGTGACTTTGGCTGGAATTGAACCTGGGACCCTTCAGTCCACAGGCTGACGCTCTGTCTGCTGAGCTAAACCGGTTAGGGCATAAGTTAGCATATTTAAAGGTTTGTTTATGTTGACATTTGTATCCTTGAGGAATCTTTAGAGCTCATATGAAAAGAAAACGGTGAGATTTTAATGGAAGAAAATAGAGGTTAAATGGAACAACAGCCAGTGCACTCTGATATGAAGACTAAACATAGGGAAAGTGGCAGCACTTTCCAAATTCATACATTTAACACAATTGTTATTAATATATAAATGGATACTTTATAGAATCTGCATAAATAATTCCAAAATTTATATGAAAGAGTGAGCAAGAGAATCAAAGGACAGCCCAAAAGGAGAATGGGCACCATGAAGACCAGGTCAGATCTATTGTGACCTACACTGGCTAGGTAGTCAAAAAGAAGGAAAGCTCAGGTGGTGTTGCTCAGTGGTTGGGCATTGACCTATGAACCAGGAGGTCACAGTTCGATTCCCAGTCAGGGCACATGCCCAAGTTGTGGGTTCAATCCCCAGTGGGGGACATGCAGAAGGCAGCTGATCAATAATTCTCTCATCATTGATGTCTCTATCTCTCTCCCTTCCTCTCTGAAATCAATAAAAACAATATATATATATATATATGTAAAGTCAAGACCAGGAGCAAAGTAAATGTAAGAAGCAAAAGCTAATTTAACATATTACAACTAAAACCCTGGGGAAAGGCATTTAGAATTATTGTATACTACCTATCAAATGTCCTAAGTGAGTTCAAGTTTTAAAAAACCTCCACAACTTAAAAAATACTAAAAAAGGCAGAGTACATTTTTAAACTAATGACGCAATAGAAGAAATGACAAGACAGATTAACACGACTGAATAAACTTTGAACACTTGTAATTAAAAACGAGGATATAACACGATGAAAAGGAAAGCCTTAGAGTGGGGAAATAGTTGATAGTTAAAAGTTTAATATTACAGTATATGAGGATGACATTTCTACTATTATGTTCAAGGGAATTTGGTGTTTAAAAGATAGCTTACACCATAGGAAACAAAATTGCAAAAGAATATTGAATTATTTAATCTACTGATAATTTAAAAATGCAGTCTTAATGTTGTGATATCATAAATACCTAGTACATAACAAAAAGAAGAATGATTTTTAAATCCTGGGAAGGCTAGTGAGAAATAAATATATTGTAATTTTTCTTGAGTGCTATTTGGCACATATAACAAGAACCATTAAAATGATTATTTTTTATCCAGTAATTTTATTTTTTGAGGTTTATTTTAGGG